GTTTCGCGTGGTTATTGAGCGGGATTCAACTCAATCGCGTTGCGATGTCTATGACCTACGCGTGGTCAGGGGGCCCCGATTTTTATACATATAACGAAAGGCTCACGTATAAAAGATACTCCGGAGCAAGTCGCGAGTCAGTTGTTGCCACATAGTGAAACCTAACTAATCTGATGTTTGATAGAGATTTCCATGTTACAAAAAGTTTTCCTTTTAACATATCTTTTTTTTTGTACGTGTAGGACATTGTTGTGCCATCATATTATATTGTTCAGGCTCATTTCTACCAATATAGATTTATTTTAATCTCGATTTATTCTTTATCTTTTTATAATTTTTAGAACTACATAGAAGAAGAAAAAAGAAAATTAAATCGAAATTAAAATTAGGATAACTTTGATCAAATTCTGATTAATTTAAAGGATTATTTTATATAATAAAATAAGAATAAAACTATTAAATCAATTAATAAATTATATCGAAAAAAGATTAAGAATAATAAACTGTATATTAGAGATTTTGTCTAAATTGATTTTGTCGATTGAGTTAATTTCTGATTATGTTAATCGGATTTAATTGATCAAAGTTACCTTTAAGAGAATCCTAAGATCTTTTTTTATCGATTATTTTTCAAATAAGTATTTTTTAAACTTTTTATATACGCCAGATTAAAAAATTCTTTTTCACAATTAAAGTATAAACGGTAATGTAGTCCAAACCGATCGACTTTATGTCAAAAATGAAAAAAAGTTGAAAAATTACAGTTTTGTTATCGGTTTCTAGCATCGAATAATAATATTTGCTTTATGTACAAATTTATACTTCGTATGTATAAAACAGTTTTGATTTGGAATAGGGATTACATGAATAAACAATGTTTTTAGAATTAAGCTCAGATATTTAATATGAAAAATTAATTAATTAGAATATTTGTACATGTGGCGTGTGATATTGATGTAGTAGTGTGTAATGTTGTGTCAGTGACACGTAAATTATATGGCCCATATTCTGAACCCTCTTTTATCGATAAAAGCACTTTTAAGCATATAGGTTATGTTACAGATACTATGTATATCCTTAAAAGCTTTATTGATAAAAGAGGATTCAGAATATGAGCCTATGTGTGTGTAAATCCTACTAAATTGGTAAATACTACATCGATATTTTATGTATCTATATTCACAAATTTTCAGACATACTGTTTTTTTATAGTAAAGCCTTTAGCTCATTTCATAAGCATAGTATTGTTCTTTCATTTAATTTCTATTGCGAACTAAGATTATTTTATACGTATAAAGTATAAAACTTTTGTATAAAGCAAATATTATTATGAGTCGACACTAGAAGCCGATAATAAAAAATGTAATTTTGCAATTTTTCCATTTTCCACATGAAATCATTCAGTCCATGTTGCATTATTGTCTGTACTTTAATTGTGAAAAAGGATTTATAATTTTATGTAAACAATAAAAAGATTATTGTATCTGAAAATAATAGCATTTGATTGGTATTACAAACAATGCACACCTATTCAAAAATGTTTGAAATAATATCGATTTTTCAGAAATCATATTTTTTAGAAATATATGATGTGCTATATGGGCTTGGAATATATGACTCTGTAAGTTGCAAAATATTTAAATTGCATTTGAAACTTCAAACGAGTTTTCCTCAAAACTATTTTTTCAAAGTTGGTGAGCAAGATATCTCAAGAATCGTTGCACCAATCTATTTCTAACTTTGTGTTTCTTTAAACATTAAAATCTAGTTTTTAATCGAAGGATTTTTTATTTTATAGACTAAAAGATATTCATTTTTTAAATAAAAATCGGTTAACTTTGAACAAATTCCATTTTGTCGGAATTTAATTTATCGAAATATTGATCGATTAAAGCATAGATAAACTCATTAACTAAATCTTGTTAAATTTTTTATTTTAATAACCGAGTAGCATTGCTCATCACAAAACGCTTTTCGCCGAAAAGCGGCTTTTCAAACATTTGTTATGACTTTATTATAAATTAGTATTTTTGCATAAAAAAAAATAAAAACCTTGTCAAGAAAAATTCTTTTAAATACAAAAACTTTTATACAAAACTGTATATACACTTTAAAAAAAAATAATTTACAAAAATTCGTTTTTTTTTTTTACTTCCTGACTAGGCGTAACCCCTTAAGGGGATTCTAAAGTAAAGCCTAAACACCAACGAGAGCGTTGTTTCCATGTCTGATAAATTGCGACACATTGATATATTTTTATACATTACTACATCAATATCGCACGTACACATATACATAAATTTTCATAGAACTATAATGTTTTAGAATTAGCCGTCTAACTGTAAGTTCAATTCTAAGATTTCCACGTTGTCTGTGACACAATTTCGTAAGTACAGATTGTAAAACTTTTATATTACGCAAATGTTACGATACTGATAGCTCTGACGCCATATTGGACTAAGAAATGATAAAGAAAATCTCAATTTAAGCAATTTTTTTCGTTTTCAGTATAAACTCTATCTTACTGACACGTGAAAGAAGAAAAAAAGTAATTATTATATAAAAATTATTGCGTTTAGTTGGTAAAACAAACGACTTTAGGAAATGTCTTTTAAGGAAATGTCTGACTAAATGCAATAAGTTAATATCGTAATTTCTTTGTTCTTTTTTTACAGATTTGAAAATTCTTTTCCAGAATTAAAGACTCATTAATACATGTCCATGAGGTGGAGTTTGTGCTGAAAAAGGAAGAAAAATTTTTGTATAATGATGTTTAGAGCTATTCTTATTGTGGCACCATTTGCTTGATATAAAAACTTTGCAATCTATCAGACTAGTAGTTTACATGAACAAACAACATCGACCTTAGAATTAGCCCGAATCCTTATGTAGACACCGGTCTTTTGATACCTGATAGTTGAAAAATGGATTATGGAAGTAAAATTTATTCTATCACCCATTTTTCCGTACTTAGATTTAGACACTTAATTCGATGAAAATGTGTTACGAAAAGACTATGTAAAAAAGAAAAATTTTTGGAAAACTCGTAAAATTTGGTTGAAACTTGGCACAAACGTTCGTTAGAGGGTCTAGATACCCATGGTAACATTAAAATTTATGCGATAAAACAGATAACTTTAGGATCCCCTTAATCTACAATAATCTACTTTGATATGGACATCTGCAATCAGTTATGATGCTACTTTTCCTTAGCAGCATTCGATATTCAGCTACCGACCGAAACTTACTAGAAACTAAAGTTATAGGAAATACATTCACAAAGATCTTGGCGCATGTAACCATGTATTGCGGAATATAGTTTCTGATAAGTTGAAATTCTTATTCTCTGTTCTCTGTTCCTTTGATTGTGCGCAATCCCTGATACACGAGCTGCGTTCCGTTATTCATTGCGAGTATTGAAAATCTATACACCTATAGTATACGTAACGTGAACTATAGATCTTCAGTACTCGCAGTGAATAACGGAACGTAACCATGGTTAATAAAATAGTTTAAAGAAACGGTAAAAATGGAAACGAGAAAAATTTACTGCATATCGCAAAGTAAATTAATTTTTGTGAGGTTAGATATCTAAAATTATCGAAATCAGATTAGACATTAATTATTAATTTTACGAAATAACTTCTCATATGAATAAATTTTCTTCAGTTTTTTTTTTTTTCGAAGTTGTATACAGATGATTTGTCTATCGTATGTAAGCATAAAAAAAAATCACTCGCGACTGCTCTTGTGGCTATTATAATTATTAATTCTGTTTTGTATAGACAAATCGCTGATGCAGGGTGGATGTACATTGAGAAAAAAATGTTGATTCAATTAAAATCTATATTACGGTCTGTCACTAACATAAGTGATTAATTTATGTATATTTTTATTGACACAAAGGCATAAATTATTATTTCAATAATCAAGCCTTTATGTCAATAAAATATACGCATGAATTAATCACTTATGTTAGTGACAGCCCGTGATATAGACTTTAATTGAATCAACAGCATTTTTTTCTCAGTGTAGGAAGTAGACAATAGCGATTCCAATGAAAGCGTATTCACGGGGTCCAAGCTGGACCCAAGAAGACTATTCAGTTTTGGGAAGATCGTCGTCCGGCTGTCGCGCGTGGACGCGACTGCTGGATGAATACAAATGATATGTTGTGAAAATAGAAAAACTTTGTAAAAATCGTAGTAAGAATAACATCAAATTGTATCTCGAAAGCGATATACAAAAGACGTCGCCTTCTGCGACGTTTCCCGCTAAAAAGATTTTGGACGATCTAAATGAACGCGCGGGAAGTCGATCAGCCGATCGTTCGTCTTGCGCGCGCATAAGAATACATTTATAGAACCTAGAGCGCACATTTGTAGGGTAACTATCCCTATGACTGTGTCGTTATTAATGTGTCTTTCTATTTAAATAAGTCATAAAGAAAAGCACGAATAAATAAAAAAAAAAGTATTTTTTTTTATTAAGTTAAATTATTAATGTACACGACACCAAAGATAATATTCTATTTTTAACTATTAAAATATAGTAAATATTTTTTCGAGAAATACGAGGAATTTATGTGAGTTTAGTGATACAGAAACATTTTAAGCTTGTCCCTATTAGTGTGCCTTGTATTGGAGTTGAGAACGTTTTATTATGAGTGCACATTGAAACTGTAAGTATAATTAAAATAATAATTACGCAATATTAACTTAAACAATTAGATAATTAGATTACATCTATTATCTGTTTTAGTAATTATATAAAATGAGTGAAATGCGGATAAGCATACAAATTGAGGACACGTTAATAGGACACACTAATAGGAACAAAAACATTTTTTTTGTTTTTATAAAAAACAAAATAATATTTTTTTAGATTAAAAGAATATTATAAGAAAAAGAAATATTAAAAAACTGATATCTATTGATTTCAAGCCGATAAGATTAAAACTATAATATTTAATAATTGACTTAGTAATGAGCAAATTAGCTTAAAGGCACACTAAGAGGGATGGTTACCCTAATTGTAGATTTTATCATACGCTGCGACGACGTGTAAATGGACGTGTACACTTATTATATGCATATTGGTATCGCTTTATTTTATGCGAATTAGGAATTAGTAGTAGATAGGGTGAAACCGATCTCTCGTATAACGTTTACATGATTAGGAAGCAACGTGGAAAAAGAAAAGAAAGGGGAGAAGAAAAAAAAAGGAAAAAGAAACGTTCGTCATTATTATCGCGCGACTGCGATCGATGTAATCAGAGCGATGAGGATCGTCCATTGGACTGCAACACTTGCGGATCCTGGAACATTAAAGACGAACATTAAAGACGAACTTTCGTTAGCTTCCCTCTCTATTATTTTTTTTTTCTGAAAAGTCACAAATTGCCTTTGTTTACGAGAATAAAAATATCTCGGTTCGAATATAGAGCTTTGACATCGAAATTCTCTTTTGACATTGAAAAATTGGACAACTGATAAAATTTAAAAAAAATATATTTATACAAAATAGTCAAAAATAAAGATTTATAGGTGAAGAAGAAGGAGGATAGAGATCAGGATTTAAGCGTAGGATAAGTAGATATGAAAAAGTAATCATTAGGATAGGTACAGAAGGACACGAGAATAAGGAAAAATGTTAATGCTAACTTACATGAAAACTGTGTAATACGGGTATTTAAATGTGATATTAATTTAAATTAGTGTCAGTGTCTGATTAGAGAAAAACTGTGATACTTAGGATACAAAAGATGAAAAAAGACTATAGGTTTAGATAATAGTAATAAGATTTGATTATTAGTTTTTAATTAACTATTAATTGCCATAATTAATACCACAAGATATTAATTACGTACGTAGAGATTAAGAGAAGAAATTGTAAATCGAACCTCTTCTTGACATACAAACTGAAGTAGTAAATACTTTATTTTATTCTAATATATAGTTGTTGCACTTGCATAAGACAGAGTCTCTACTCGCGGAGGATTGTAGCGAATTTGCGATGTGCATCCTTTAAACGGCTAATTTGGACGCCGAACTATATCCCACGTATTCATTTCGCGGAGCCCGAGCCTCGTTCTTGCCGTAATTTAATTCGGGATTTGAATACAGTGTGGCTGTAATTAATCAGTTTTTATTGCAAGACCCGGGCGATAGCACTATGGTGGATTAAAGCATCGAGTAATTAGTTCCCGTTGTGATTAATGCCGCATGTACGGCCACAAGGATTCGTTTCAATACTTAGAGCTTTAATCCGATACTCCTCATTACTTGCGACCAGGCTTTTCGATATCCAAAAATGAATTTCCTTCGCTTAATATTACAGAAATGTCGTCGTGTTTTAAAATGCCGTTTACTAGGAAATAAACAACTCCCAACCAGTTAAGTTGGACTTTAAAGACACAATTGATATTTTGATTGTAGTAAATGAAGAACTTTTATTTTATTAGATTTGAGCCATCCGGGTATAGAGATAACAAGTTATACGTCAAACATAAAGAGTAGATTAAAACTGTATAAATATTAACAGCTAAAATAACTGCAGAGCAGAGTGTTAGGACCTCATCAGTGTAATGTGTGAGGTATATTAATTTTATGTCAGGAATTGGAAATAATCCGGTAACACAAGTTATTTTTGAGAATCTGTAACTAGTAAAAAAAATAACTCTCCAATTCCTGCAATTGGTGGTCTTATTATGTAGTTAAAATACTCGTAGATTTATCTTTTTATCCATCCTTTTCTCCAGGATTATTACAATGTTCAGGATAGTTTTTAATAGTGTCATCACAATTAATGACTGCACATGTAAAAATGATGCCCGTACCGTAGGTTGTAATAAATTCGCTATCGACGAGCATTCGTTGAAAATAAATGGTTTAAGTCGTAAAATATTACCGGTGAAAATAAAAAGTCTTTTAATATAGTAGATTAATTAACACGTTACACACATGTATACGCAACTACGAAATTATTTGCGGTGATTTTCGATCGGAGTAAACTCATAAAAAATCTATTGGCCGAGTGTAAAAAAAGAAGGGATAAACAAAATACGCCATAATATTTTGGCATGAGCGCGTCGCAATCGCTTCGCTCCTCAGTATATATCGAATTCGACAGCGGAATAATCTAGCGAGTTTCAAGTGTTATAATGGAGATTTATAACCCTCCCCCCTGCGTAGAGCTTGACCTAAGTGAATTTTTTATCGTCCGCACCCCTGCTTGTAATCGATAATTCATCATAATTGCAGGCTCCAGAGATTTGAAGGGGTTTAAAAAATCGCGAGGGTGCGAAAGTGCTAAAGAGAGGGAGGAGTGAGAGAGAGAGAAAGAGGGAGAAATTGTAAGTGACACGAAAAGTAACAGCGGGAGAGGGAAATAATTTTTTAATTGAACGTATAACGTTTTATCCTCCGTAACGAAACTACAGGACTAGCTACGATTCCGCTAATTACGGTTATACCAATAATCAACGTCGGTGCAACTGGACCTTAATTATTTTAACTTGCATTACCAACTTTTAGACAAGGTAAAAGTTGAATTCAGCATTCGCGGGAGGGTTAATCGATAAAATGGGGGAAACGTTGTACAATTGTGGTATAGGTATAGGTAGGAAAATAACGGATGATATCCGGGGAGAAGCTTACCGTTCGTCAGATCCTCGCGAGTGTGGCTCTGTGCCCGGGTCTCGCGACTCTCCATTATAGGCGTTTTCAGAATGCTCTCGTCGCCCTCCACGCTCTCTTCGTTGCTCTGTAGATAGACCGTGGCTATTGTGGCCAAGCACTTTAGCTTCATGTCGCCTCGCCTGAAGTGCTTGTTCGCGACGCGGAATTTCAGACCGAGTCTCGCGGTCTCCAGGCCATTCCCTTCGTTGACGATATTGGGCCCTATCAGGTAGTCGGTGTTAACCTGAAAGCGCGATGTGTTTTTACAACGATCCGTGTGAAGATTATTTTTAAGGGCATCGCGACATTTCGCACTAAGAAAAAAAACAGTGATATGTGGCAATTTTACAAGTGACAACGTAACTATACAAATTTTATATTATGTAGAATTAATGTTCAATGTGTACATTATAAACATGTGAAACTTGTACAGTTATATTTATATAATTGCATCTACTATTCTTTTCCTTTCAGTGCGCGTGATAGATTGTTGCGATGAACATCCCGCGCGGGGCAGGGGATCGGGATTGAGCAATTAGATAGATTTTTATTTAGAACGTAGACCCGGGTTACGCAGCATCGACGGCACCAATTAGGCGGGAGATGGAAAACAGATACACGATTCTGTAGAATGCAATTTGAAAACAATTAAGAACGAGAGATTGCGCTCTTTTGATCCCGGATGCAAATTTTTTTCGTGAAACCAATTACGCGAAATTGCATGAAGCACCGAAGCAAGATTCTAATTATTGCACGATAATGATAATAACATTCATCAGCAACGCGTGCGCGCGCGCTGTGCAGGCAAAGTTATTTTAAAGTTAATCTTTAATTCGGTTAAGCTATGCGTCCGCAGGGCGGAAAATTTCGCTGGAATATAACGCGGTAACGAATTTTCTATAAAAAAAAAAAAAAGACTCGGAGAGTTCCGTAAATATTAACGACACATAAACGGGATCGAATAAATGGAAAATACATAAATGTCATGGATTTGAAATCGATATTCAATGTTGACACGAGAGACAGTCGACGTTTCACCTTTAATTGGGAACGCTGACTGGTATTTTATCAAAATAAATTTTAAATTAGAACATTATCGGAGAATATTTTTCGAGATTAACGCAAATGGACACGCGCGCGACGCGCACACGCGTCTTTGTGATGAAAACAGAGCGGAACGAAGCTTTGATTTATTTAACAAATTGCATATACGGCAATTTTGTTGTGCTTCATTTTTCCTCTTTTTTCCTCTCCTCTCTCTTTTCATCTCTCTTTCTTTTTAAGTACACATTTCATCGCGTTGGTTGAAAAAGTTTAACGAAGCGTGAAACAAAGGTTATAATTATTATTTCGCCGACGGTTTAAGTGTCTCACTTACCGGCTCGTCGTTGATGAACCAAGACAATAGCGCAGGTGGTTTAGAAGGTGCCGACGTGCAGTTCATGTGAACGACATCGCCGACTTGATACTTGGAACGACCACCGGTTATCTGCGGTCCTTCGTTAGGTAGAACTGAAACGTTGCCATGACCCTTTCTAGTGCTATTGTCGCTACTCTCGGATTAGATTCTCCTTATCTCACCGCGCGCATTTACTGTACGTATTCATTTATCTAGTTCTGTCTCTCCCAAATTACGTTAAAATAATCACCGTCAGTCTAATGCAGTTTACTTTAAGAATAAAAATTTCCTCTGTATATTTTAGACTATTCGAAGATTTTGATCTTCTGTTTATCGATAACATCGATATTTGAATACAATCACGAGATTTAAAAAGAACTGCTTCCAAGTCTTTTCAAAATTTTCACTACAATCCCAGCTTAATCGCACACGTTCGCTCTTACTTTCCATGACAATACTTACCAACTACAGTCATGTCCCCGTGATCAGAGACTGTCTCAAAAGCGGGGGCCTCGCCCGACACCTCGCATCGATACCTCCCCGAGCTCGTCAGATTCACGTTGTTCAAGACAACCGAACTCTCGGTGGACTCGTCCCTCTGAATGCAAATTCGCGATTACAAGCTGCTGCGCCCGATCGAGCGTGACGCGGGGCCTGCGCGATGCACCACGCAGTGAACAAACCAGATTCTATCAGATTCGAACAAAAAGCTTCTCGCCGTGAGAGATATACAAAGTGCATTGTGCCTCTAACTTCAACGCAAACGAAAAAAGTAATAAATGAAAAAATTGACCGAGAAATGATCAAGACAATAATAAATGAACGAGGCTATATTCAACCAAAGCGGATGTCAATATTATCATCAAAATCACGTTATAAAAGACGTCAAAACGAATAATCCTAAGATCAATGACACGATATTTATGTCGAGAAATACATGATACGTTATGTAAAGACAGCTTATTTTTCTGTGAAATAAGTAATGTGTTTAAAATCTTTCCGATGAATTATAGCATAACCCGAACTTTATATATTCTGGTAGTACCCACTATGCTCTACTTGCTGTTTGTGTGTAATTACACAGTAACCTCAACAGCAAGAGTAAGTCATGCAGACTGTCCGTCTGACTCAATTGCATCAGTTTATTGCTCAGTTTGTTTATTCTGCTATTGTCAGTAAAGCAAAACGTAAAACGTCGTGGTCGTAATATAATATCTCGTAAGTAACTAATTTTATAACTATTAAAAAACGGTTATTAATTTCCGTGATTCATTTTATTCTAGTTCTGTATTTATACTTTACAATACTGTATTTAGTTAACATTTTTGCCATAACATTTATTAGGAGAGAGAAAGGTAAATTCAAATGTTAGTAAACTTATAAAAGTAACATTGGATCATTTTATTTTCCATTTTTAAACATTTTTTTTTTTTTTTATAAAAAGAGGGAAACATATTTTTTTTCTTAAAATATTCACATCTATGTAAATATTTTCAAATGTTTTTTATGTTCAAAAATGTTTTCTCTTTTAAATTTAACCATCATTTACAATTTTGGGCTTAGTAAAAAATTAGAAAAAAATCGCAAAACTTAGGTAGCCAATATAAGGTTTGGCCCAAAGATTTTTCGCGCTGTACACGATGTCATTGACAAAATTTGCGTAGCAAAATTTTGAATAATTCGAGGTAAAATAGGCAAAAAGTGGCGTAAATAACTGTATGCTTATTTACTCAAAATTATTGCGTAATAACAAAGATAGCAATTAATAATGTTATCCGTTACTTACTTATTAAATATAACTTAAATGACATTAAAGTCGTTATAATGATAATATCTTACTATTTGAGTTATTAACATCTCTGTATTATTAAATTGCTCTTGTCAATTTAATTTCTGATATTACATTATATTCCAGTTTTAATTTAAAATTATGTTTCATTCCGTTTCAAGATCGACAAATAATAACCCGCGCTTGAATTGGAAATTGAGATCCACGGATATATTACGAGCATCAAGATCCGCTTTGACTGAATATAGCCTCCTTTACTTATTTACGTTTAAAAAAAAAACCGTTTCATTTTCCTTCACGTTCGAGCATCACCACGTGGCTTATTCATCGTTAATCTCAATTAAACATTAAAGTGATGAAATAAATATTGTGTCACTAGAGATGCTTAAATTTGACGAAGGATCGATACTTTTATCCGTCTATTATATTCTCGATAGCGTTTAAATATTTAAACTAATTATAAGTAGGTATCTCAAATACCCCAATTAATATAAATGCCAGAATATTACGCTCCGTAAGAGGATAGTTGTTGAAGACTGACTGTTCTCGCTATCGTGTGGAGAAGGTCAGGACTCCATTCGGCGCTATTCTAAGCATCCCTAGTAGGTACTCGCAAACTCGCACTCACGTTTACGTTTACGCCAGGCACCGGGAACGTTAGCACCATGGGCGCGTCTCTGGGTGTATAGCGATAAAATTCGTGGCCATCCTTGTACCACTTCACGGAGTACAATAGCTCTTTGTCCAAGTTAAAGTTGCACTGCATGCGCACCGTCTCATTCAGCACGACGTGCTCCGGTATCTGCAGGGACGTCATGCGTAGGGCGACGACGACGACGACGACGCCTGTAAAAGATTTCAGATTGCAGTTGCGGGAGGATTGCGCGGCGCACAAGTGGACCCTATGGGATCTAGAGTCTCACCCCCATAGAGCTTCAACCCGCACAGCTGTAGTTGCAGCTGCGTGGGAAACTTTGCAAACTCACATGGGACCATAGCGTAGAGGGGGGGGGGGGAGAGAAAGAGAGAGAGAGAGAGACTTCTGTGAGCTTTTCGCTACGATCGCGAGTTACTTCGTTACTCCGAGTTACAATTTCAATCTTCAACATTGCACGCGACGTGCGATCAGTTGGATGATAATATTTGTATGCGTAATGAGTGCAGCAAAGTTTGCCGACAGTGAGTCACACGTGATTCATTGTAATGAGCGCTTTTTGAATCATACAATGTGATTCATACTCTCTCTGTATGTTCAATGAGAGTAATATCTACCCTCTGGGATCACTTGTGTTATTTGAAAACTAAAAGGCACAAGATTACATAATATCACTTGTGAAAAATGTATATCTTTACAGATTCATTTTCGTTATATATTTTCTTTGTATTTATATTTACGGTCTCTATATTTACGAGTATAATTTATACTCCTACAAGATGTAGGAGACACAGCTAAAATGAATTGATCTAATAGAACTGAGTGTTCTTCCTAGACTCGTGATTGCATGTCGAAGAGCTGAAAGCCGCCGTGACTTCGATATCGATCTCGGGGAATAATTGATAATCGAAGAACCACGTCGAAAGCGGGTTCACGTATGCTGCTGTTTTAAAATTGCAATAGTCTTTGAGATGTTGGAATTTCCTTGACAATACTGTTCCTCGTGCGTGTTTCTTAAGATGTAGCTTTAAGCATGCAGACTCTGTTACACGAATGCACAGCATATATATTAAATGACTTACACTCGGAGAAGACACGTGATGGAAAATATAAAAGTGACAAGTGTATGCGAGTTTCATACATAAGATTAATGTACATAGTTAAAAAAGGTTAGCGCATTCGCCACACACTAGATATCATTAGTGAATTTAAATCATATATTAAACATATAATGTTTCATACAAATTGATTAGATAGATATATCATTTTCAACAATATTGTTGTAATATATATCTATCTAATATATCTATCAATATATCTATCAATATATATCTATCTAATCAATTTGTATGAAACATTATATGTTTAATATATGATTTAAATTCACTAATGATATCTAGTGTGTGGCGAATGCTCTAACCTTTTTTAATTGTTTATTTTGAGGCCACGTAGTTGAAAAATACTTTAACGTACATAGTTTAACTATGTATATATATAGTTAAATAATGAAAATTTTTTCACCTTTTCAGGGAAACTTAATTTTTTTATATTATTTAAGTATTAAGATCTACCTTAGACTGATAAGACCTTTCCGTTACTTATTGTGTATTTACATTGTCGTCTCACGGTGACACTTGGTCAATTTTTTGAGTTGTGTCACTCTTTTGAAGTAAGGAAATAATGTAAAACTTGTATAGCTACTGTTATAATTTTTTAAAATTATGAATAGATATTTTGAAAACAATTGAATACGGGCGTACCGTTCTGTTCCTAAAAAAAACTTGTTGGATGGGGTAAGGTGTCTATAAAAGCTCGGCAATGGGCGTCATTTTTTTACTAAGGGCGGATATTCAAAATCGAGCGACACAAATGATCCCCGTTTACACAGTGAGGATTAAAAAACGACACCGAATTTTTAGATCCGGCTTACTCAGACCAATTATCTATAGTGTGATGTTTCCATCTATCTAATGTTTTTTAATATTGTTGACAGTGTAATTTATGTATACGAACGACCCTTATTTGGTCTGTAACTGTCCAATTGGCAACATAGCACATCGTGTAAGCTTTCTTGTAATGCTTTAATTATTATTTATTAAGTAATCACCCAAAAATTATTCTATCTAGCAAGTTATCTGGAAATTTGATGATAACTGTGTGGATGAAGAAGTTGGTAGTCAGTCTTATACACGTCGCGTTTCACTGTTAGATTATAGATTGTATTAAAAACATCGATATTGAACATAATGTACGTTAATAATTTTGTCGTAAGATAAACTCTAGATAGGCTTGATAATGGTCGTCTTTTAATGATTTAATGAATTATTACACTGAAGAGGATCGAAACGTTTGGAATATTATATTGGATACATGGACATTATAGGTAATTATATTCGAATAAAATCGAATACATCAACACCGAGTGTCGGCTCTTATTGGCATTTCTCATTTATTGATTTACTTTGTCGAAGCCTATAATCTTTCAACTTGTTGAATAATTAATTACAACAAATAACCTTAAAATAGTTTCTTCAACATTATTAAAATTAATAACATTATAGTGTTAGAATTAATGTACATATAGGTATAATATAGTCGAATAAACTATTTTATAATTATTGCAATAATGTACATTAATTCTACATGCAAAACATGTAACATTTTTATAGTTGCTAATGTTGCCATTACTATTGTTTTTCTCTTTTGTGAGTGCAGATTGCTGGTCTTTCAGTCATAAACAGCAGCTTCCTAGTCGAAAAGAGTGCCAGATTTTTTGTGAAAAATTTTCCATTTCTAGGTAGATATATCTTGCTCACGGACGATTTTTCACGGATTTTAATTGAAAAGGAGTTTAATTTGAAGCACAATTGTCAAGATACATAGCGTCAGCAAATTGAAAGCTGGTAATAGTCTGGCTTTTGCGGGTCAATTTTCGCAAAGAAAAAATCGACCGCGAGTTTACCGAAATTTTTTGGAGGGAGAAAATGTCCGGATCAGTCTGTGTGTACAAAGTTTGTTGCAACCGCGAATTGCAAACATCCAAGCGTTCCGTGCCGTAATTGTGGTCGAACGCAGTAATGAAGTAGAGCGCGCGAGATGCGTTTTTATCGAAATTCTTTTTGCACACGCACGTGCCTTTTAATCATGCTGAGCGCTTTTGTAAAATAATATGATCAGAGCGGGAAAAGGGGGACGAGTCATGATGCCTCGCCTACATAAACACAACGTGATCATTAATTAGTTTTTCCCGTGTCATTAATTAGTTTTTCCAGTTTTTCCTTCACGCTGGGGCAAACCGGGACTCGATGATTACGTTAATCGCGTCAATGTTCGCCGTGTTTAAAATTCTGACGATGATGTATCTTAAATTAAGTCCGCTAATGAGTGGACCAATGGATGGGATGCGGGATCGGATGGGATGAGATTGCCCGTTTATATTATCGGCTCTTATCGCGGCTATTCGTGCGCGCGTTGCGCACGCACGCGTTGTCATTGATTCGATAAGCATCAGGGTCACGCAACGCGACGTATCACGCGTTCTGGCATCGTCGCTATTAGAGCCGCCTGAACGCGAACACTCTTATTAAGGGTAATTAATTTTTTTTCTTTCACGTCTCGTTCAATGGTCCTCGTCAGGCACTCGTGTAATGCGTGTAAAACCATATCCAGATCAAACGAACGAGCGCGATCAAACACGAACGGTTTGCTTTAACGTGAGCAGCCGTAGCAGACCTAGTCGGTACCGTTTGCAATCCACATCGACACGAATTGTTTGAATTTTTTGCGTTTCGGAACAAATATTTCTTCAACGAGAATCAAATTTATGTCGAGATACATTCCGCTGAAAGCGGAAGCTGACAATGAATCCCGTGTTTTCAAAATAAAATCCTTTTTGTCGTCATTATCTAAATATTTTAAATTAATCTAAATCATTGAGAATTGATATCGTTATTCTTCTTACTTTAAATTTGATCGTTTGCAATCGAAAGAATTAGGAATGAGTCACTCGTATATGTACGTACATACATCAATATGCCCGACATTTGTTTCGTTTCGCGAACATGTGTACTTACGAGAGAGTGTTGGGAGAAAATCTGGAAAAATATCGGGAAAATATCCCCACGTCTGACCGCATCGGGGTAAACCGGAGTCGAATTTCCAAGCGCACCAGGTGTAAGTTTCCCTGTTGCAATCTTGTCCCGCACCTGATACGCCTCACGATTTTTTGCTTCCATTGTGTCCTGACTGGCGGAAAAGATTGCGAGTCTTATTTATCGGTCATGACATTGTCAAGTTTGGGTAGCTAAGGGAACGTGCAATGAGGACCTTTTCTATCGTTTTCTCGCGTTTCTCTCACTATATCTCTCTTCTGCCTCCTGTTATGCTTTATATCTCGAAGGCGTAAAGCGTGACAAGATTAACGAGATAAAGGGATCTGAAAAGGCGTTTTATTTCTCGCCATTTCGTTTATACCACGAGCGAGATGATGGTGTTAGGTGGCGGAATAGAATGCGACCGTATATTGTACACCGTGAACAAACTTTAGTATCGCGGATTCCTCGAATGTTTAGGAAGGCATTACGCATTAAATTTCAACAAGTAACGTTTAATTTCTTAATATCTTTTTGTTCAATAAAATCTTCTTAGACAATATTTTGAAATATGTACTAGCATGTATGAAATATTCAATTGAGAATCTCAAATGAGAATCTTTTGAAGTAATATCTCCTGCAATTCGATTATGTTTCATTTGTTATTCCTTTATTATTTTAACTCGGCACAAATGTAAAAATTCTCACTATTAATAAGTTACCTCGAATTAGTATTATTATGTAAAAGGATTTAATTAAAAGGTTTTTATAATTAAAACTTTCTGTTTGGAAAAGAATGAGGTTAAAAATGAATTAAAAGTCGAATTCTATAATTAAATGCCTTAACTTCCGCAATTAATAGACAATGTTGAAGGTATGGATAATGATAACGGAGCATCGAGTATTGGTTCGCAATTATTTGAACTTCTTCCACGTATCTGTCAATATTTGCGCATTCTGCATATTGTTTACAAAGCTGTTTGCGAAAACAAAATATAGTATTGCGAAACACGACGACGGCGAGCTATTTTTGAAATAATAAAACGTAATGAGAAATGTTTTGAAAAACAGCATTACCATAATTTAATTTATTTGTCGAA